TGACAGGGACAAATTAGAATAGTGGAGGCATGAGAATGCATAAGGTATCATATTGTATGAGGTACAATTCAGTAAAGTACTTTTTTCTTTTATAACTACAGAAGTTTTGAAACTCTTACAGAATAGAAGTCTCGTGGTCTTGGATGTGGCAAGTAAGAAACTTTGCTGTTGGGATCCAAGGCAGTCCACCTCAAACCCCAGATAAAGGAATAATGGCACAAATAATAGATCTTTACCTGTAATAACGAAGTAATGGACGACAATGAAGATTTGAAGCTTGGCAAGTTTGTAAGTTCGATTTCCCATCCCAAAGGGTGTGAACGTGAATGGAGATACTCCATATTTCTAGTTAAAAATCCCAGCCAGAGTTACAGAGCATGGGTGAGAATCTCGTACCTCCCAGCTGGATTGAACTTTTCCGGATCAGGGTGGATCCATATGTACTTGTCTTAGCCACGCTTCCAAATCACTTGAACATCACTTGAGAGAAGGAGACTCACTATTAAACTCGAGGTCTAACAAGGCTCTTCTAAAGACCATTGGGGATATTTTTTGCAAGTTGCAGTGTTTCATTGAGAGTAACTGAGAATCAAACGAAACAAATCTCGCCATGTAAGATTGTACTGCCTGAGCAAAACCAGGCTTGTACGAGAAGAGCAGCCCACAGAAAAGCTTCCCATCGATGGACGCTTCTAATATGTATCTGTAGTTGAATATGTCGCTTACTCTAGCCTCGAACATCTTCTCGCCTAGCAGCTGAAGATGAGCTTGAAACTCTGTAGCATGAGTTTGACAGGGAAAAATTGGAGAGGTCCAAGTTTTTCTGCAGATACCTTTGTGAGATGAAACCAAGCTCTTGTCCGCATCCCGTTGCTTGTCTAGCACGAATGGCGTGGCACGATACTCTTGCCACCTTCTCTTAAGTTCCTTACGCATGGATAGCTTTGGTTCTGATGGATCTTTCCCCCTCAGCATCTCTTCACAGAAAAACGGCAACCATATTGTCAAGAATGGCAGCAATGTCATTTAAAGAAGAAGCCAACCTGTGTCAAGGAAATACATGTCATCCAGAGCTTCAAGCTCTTCGTTATATCCCCCATAGAAGAATCATATGCCTCACTCTGCGTCCACGGAATCTCCTGCAAGGGAGAAACGTGGAGAAGGCCCGGGACCAGAGGGATTCGAAGTTGCCCAAACACCAGTTGCTACAAAATACGTAAAAGCCCCATGAGAGACTCACGTACTTTCCATGGCTGATTGTTGTGTGCCTGGCTCTTAGCATCAGCTCCGCACCAGTCGTCTTTACCTCCCGCCATGCCATTGTTTCTGGAAACGCAAATGAATTCGCAAGTTTAAAACCAGCACAATGTATGTACCTGTGTCCAGAATATAAAATCATTTTACACACGTTTGTAAAGCATTTCAAATTTATAATAGGCATCTGGGCTGTAAATCTCGCCTGAAACTTCTGTCCAAGGGATTCTCAAAGGTTGATGTAAACGCAACCTGCGTGTTTCCTGGCTCTCACCATTTTCCAAAGAGGAAGTCATTTCGTTCTGAAACCATGTACTATAAAGATAACCCTAACCAACTTTTATCTTGCAATACTTTACTTTGTCACAAATATCTTAAATCATTTTCCTTTGTTACATTGGGCAATAAGATATTATTCAGCAAGTTGGGTTGTGCTGCAGCACAGATTGCTTGTGTTCTTTAGCCGTGATGTACCTGCAAAGCTCAAGAGCTCACTCATTATCAAAAAGTTATGAAGTCATGCTCTGTCCAAGTTCTCTCACCTTTAAATAACGGTTGAGCAGCATTGTGAACTATGATTAGATCATTCTATGGGCTTTCGTTTGTTTGTGAAGCATTCATCTGTATGCAAACTCGGGATGCAAGCACCTGAAAAGATTGGATTTTCAATTAGTTTCAGATGATGAAAAGCCAAGTTTACATTGCCGAGTTCACACCCCATTATCGAAGGAGTTGATTCCCCAGATAAATCCCTGCACCATGACCTAGTGCTCATACAAAGCTAGAAGCTGGTCAACTGTACATGGCTTTAGAGTTGGTAGCAACATGCTCAAGACTGGACGATTGCTGGTGAATTCTTACAGACTTTCACCTAACATGCTAGATAACCGTAGAGCAGCAAGGAAAGAACATTCAAGAAGCCTTTCAAGATCCTACTCTTTATTTTGTAGGAAATTCAGCACTTGGCTCTCCAAATTTGCAGCATGCCAGGACTGCATTGCAATGTGTTGGGATTTCTCCTATCCAAGATGTGTGCAAGTATGCACATATTTTGAGGAGATTTAGAAGGTAGTAGGTAGACACTGCTTGATTCTTATTATAATGAGGCTTATAACATTAACTTTGGCCAATCTTGCTAAACAATAGACTATGGCCGGTTTAGTAAAAGGCTGATAAAACGTGTATGGTTGTAAAACTCAGTTCTCATGAGATTCTTACAACTTGCTTCTGAAAGTCTTTATGTTTTGCCTTTGTGCTTCGCAAATCTTCCTCAACTTGCTTGAGCTGTATTAATAGGAACGACACATACCTGGTTTCATAGGGTGAGAACAACATAAGGGTCACCAATCATGAAGTCCCTCACTGTAAGGTTACCTCTAGAATTGAAGTATTGAACAGAAGAATCTTCTTGCCTTGAAAGAATGTCGACTCTTGACAAGAGGAAGCCAAATGCATGGCTTTACGAATTTTTGTCTTTCATACTTGCTTCTGAGAAAACATTGATGGTTGAAAAATAAATATAGAAAACAGTTTTGCATCTCCTGAACCTTACAAATTCTAATTGCTCTTGATTGGATGATTCTGGCATGGGTCTTTTGCCAAGATTTAGGAACAAAGGCCTCGTATGCAGCATTTGCAGCTGCATTGCCACCAATAAACAGCATAAGCTCAACCCCTTTGTCTGTCCAGTCGTTGGAATTTATGGACATAAACTGTTGAAAAGGGACATAAAATTGGGAAGAGAGATTATTTACATTTACCTTTGATACAGAAGCTCCCATGCTTCAATGAACAGCATAGCATTTGTCACAGATTATAACTCCATGTTTGTAGAGCTGGAGAAACAACAGAAGATGCAGCAAGATGGAAATGAAAATGACTTACGCCCATTGGGGACCCTGCAACCTGCAACCCTGCACATAACTGGTTGTCTGGTTGCAAGATAAATGTCTGAAATTTAGTCGTGCTTCTCTCCATTTGCTAGGGTATCAAAGATCCACTCCTGAAAAACAAAGATCGGTGGACAGACCTTCTAGCAAAAAAAAGAAGAATAAAAGAAAAAGCATTGCATTGAAAACCTTACCTTTAAACAAAGGAAATTCCGAGTTGATGAGCTTAACCTTTACTCCAATCCTGCCAATACGCTCTGAGACACATAGATACACTGCAAAAAAAGAGCATTCTCAACTCAGAGGGAAAAGAAAGAACTGTCTTTCAGAGATCCAGTAAACTGCTTTCACAGACTTACAAGTGTATTATACAGGTGCTCCGACTGAATGGTAGAATGCTTTTCAAGTCGATCTGGGTGGAAATCTTGAGCGCCTGGCAGCCTTTGGACAGCACACTATTGTGATCAGATGGTCTGTTCACGATTCCACAAGTGCTGTGGAAAGTCAGAGGTCTCTTTGACGGCATATGAGCACAAGGTATATAACGTAAGGACCAATGCAATCATGCAGCGAACCTCATGGTGTGCAGCCGCGCGTAAGGACCAATGCAATCATGCAGCGAACCTGATGGTGTGCAGTAAGCTCTCCTGGAAAAATGCATTGAAAAAAACTGGTTTACCCTAAAAAAAAAAAAGTTTCAACCTCAACTGTTTTTTTGCCATGTGTCTTCATCTCCACCATTAAACTCGAAAAGAATCTCGATTGAATATGTCACCCTTGCTCTTTTAAATATAGAAGGATGATTTCTTATGGAACGAAAAGCGAGGCGGAATAGCCACTGATGCTTGATAATCATATGACCGTCATCATATCATCATAGATGATGGAATGATCTCAAAATGACCCCATAGGCTCCAGCATTCTCCCTAGCTGCAATCTCGGTCTGAGATGCCGATGCTGGACCGCTGAGAAAAGTGGAGGTGAGCTCCTCGACACAAGTAGCATCAGCTCAAACAAGTTGGCACCACGCTGGTACTGGAAATCTTCGGTAAACATTTTGCCTTGGCTCATCTTCTCCTACTTGACTTCAGCACAGGAGACCAGGCAGACTTTGGACCAAGGGCTGAGGATTTGCAATAACTTTCTCAATGTGATGGATAAGAAGGAGATCCTATTTCGTATCAAATTTCATGACTAAAAGAGCGGAAGAATCATCTTGCCTTCACTATAAACGCACAGATGGCTGTACAAATTCTTGCTTCTGAAGAAAAATATCCCGTATATGAAAGAAGCTTGTTCTCTCTTGATTTGATGAATCCGGGCATAGGTCTTTTGCACGTGCAAGGAACAAAGGCCTCATAAGCAGCACTTGCGGCTGTATTTCCAAATTCCACCAATCCAGTCGGTGGAATTTGATGGCAAAATCTGGAAAGAGAGTCATTTCTGTCACCTTCATCCAGAGGCTCCCATGCTTCGATGAACAGCAGAACATCTATCACAGATTATAACACCAGCGTTTGTAGAGCTGGAAAACAACAGAAGTTACAGTTGCAAGAAAGATGTTTGAAATGCTTCTCAGGGTTTAGATGTGGTCGAGCAGTCATTTATCTTCTATATCTTCAGCATCTTTAGTGTTCTGTAGGTTTCTGACTTCATGTGTCTTACTTTGGGAGAGCGGAAGCTTTGGGAATGAAAACTTTTTCTTGTCCATCTTTTCCTTAACGTCAACGTGATTTGGCACTTGGAAAGACTCTACAAACCCCTAACCTCTTTTTCCCATGCTTTCCGTTTCCAAATATTTCTAATGTCCGCTTTTAACTAACTTTTCATGGGAATGAGAACAAAATCGGGATTACTATGTCTCGGGGGGCTGCTTCTAGGCTGCATAATAATGCTCTTTTCAGAGTGGATTCTGGAGTGGAAACACGTGGATTCCTGGACGAGTAAATTCTACTACTTGTATCCTGGGCACCATCCTTTTCTTCATCCACTTGCCGAATCTACCGACGAGTTTGGGTTTCTCGGTGTACCTCGTTGCAAGTAATTGTTCTGCATTAGTTATCAAATGTCCCTAAAAATTGATCATTTGATTCTTGACAGTTCCACCAAACAAGTCGAGTGGGGCGAAGCCCACCTTCTCGCAGGACTCCACGAGTTTCTGTCAACTTATAGCAAAAGACCTATCAAGAGAAATGTGCTTGGAATGAGGCTAGATCACTCATTTGGACTTTGGTTTCTGGCTCGTCAACTTGAACCAGAGATTATTATCGAGAGTGGTGGTCTGAGGGGTCACACAACTTGGGTTTTACGCCAAGCAATGCCTGACGCGAGAATTATTTCAATTAGTCCCGAACACCCTTTGTCACATTTAGAAGATGGCCTTGGAGCATATGTTGACTCCAACTGCGAGTACCTTACTGGAGAGAAATTTGTGGATTTTGGATATGTACGTTGGGATAGACACCTTCAGCAAGATGCTGATAGGAGAAAAATTCTAGTGCTTTTTGATGACCACCAAAATCATCTCAAAAGGTTTTAATCTTTTCCCAGTGCTTTGTAATAGAAACTGATGGATATTTAGTTATTTCTTCAGAGTGAGCCAGGCAAGCCGGGCAGGATTTAAACATTTAGTGTTTAATGACAATTGTGACACTGGACATGGTGATCAATATTCACTCCGACAAGTTTGTGACCAAGTAAGCAATGGTATGTTTGCATAGTTCCTGTTTCGAAATCATTTTCCTTTTACAACCGCTAGGGGGAGGACATACTTGCTCCAGAAACAGTCAGGAAGCTCGAACCAGAAATTTGAGGAAGAAAATGTGGGAAAATGCAGTAAACATATCAGATCTCTGCAGTCGAGGAGGAGCATGGTGGGGAAAGCAAGGTCGTGCTTACGACAACTTTGGGAAAACCAATGCTCCCATCTCTTACGAGCAACATGTGAAGAACTTTCATCTCCTCGAGTCCATACTTGACACGTACTGGGAACTTCCCCCGTTGGCCGCTGCATATTTAACACGTCAAACCACTTTTGATCCCGCAAGAACAAGTTGGCCACTTGTTTTTAACTTGAAAGACACCTCCATCTTCAGTAAAATTGGGTTTGATAAGTGGCTCTTCAACGCGTATGCTTACATGGTATATGCTCGCTTGAAAAATGATATACCTTCCGAATTCCAATTAGAAATTGAGCAGGAATGGGTCGATAACCTTGGAACAGATCCCAAATATTAAATCATGTATTCTTTAAAGATTTTAAATCTCAAAATGACCAGAAGGTGATAAATAATTTTTAAAATTGTTCTTGAGAATACATATATGAGAACGCTGTGTTCTGGGGTTTAAATCTCATGTAGCACGAAACAGTTTAGAAGCAATACGACTTGCAGATGCACAGGTAAAGTTTGCTTTTTGTTAGCTGGTGCTAGGTTATGTTTTACATATGTTTTGCTGCAGTTCAATGGCTGCAGTAAACTTAGCAGCTGCAAATTAAGGTCTAATGCTTCCTTTCAACTAGTGTTCAAGTTGATAGCTTGGGACCAAAATTTGCCAACTAAAGTGTCGCCAATGCCACGTCATTTTTGTCTACCAGTCGACTGGTTGCTAATTTACTGGACTTTAATTGTAATTTACTAATTTGCTGCTAATTTACACTTGTAATTTACTTGTTCAGCACTTTTTCTATGCCTACATCTACTTTTTTACATGGGGGTATCACAAACTTCTAGGGCCTGGATTGCAAACAGATGACGTACCCTAGGCAAACATATCTCCAAAGCGACCATTTTGATACCCTGTGTGTTCCTAAGTTGACAAAGAAAACACTCGGGAACAAACGAGCAAAATTCAAGCCCTTCCAAAGTACAATTTATTGAATTTTGGATGCACCTTATTAGTCTTCACTAACATCCGTCCAAAGTGTCTGAAAGGCCAGCAAAAGTAGAAGCTGCAGCTAAATCTCGGAGAGCCACCACAGCCAACTCCTCTCTTTCTCAAGTTACATTGATACATGTTACGCAGATAAGGTTACCTCAGCCATGCATTCCTGACGAAGCTGAATTACTAAAACCAGACTGAACATGGAACAGCTTTACATTTTTAACAATGTCTTGAATGCAATACAGAACAAAAAAGAAATAAAAAGATTATTCTTTGTTGATGGAGTCAGAGGCACAGGGAAATCATACCCTTTTAACATACTGATAAAATATGCCACTGCCTGTGACATAGAAGTCTTAGTAGTCACATGGACAGAGTACTCTTTTTATAGGAGGTAGAATGGCTTATTCAACATTTAAGCTACTGGTACCAATCACAGAAACATGCACCCCGGACCTGCAAGAAAATTCAGCACCTCCCGAGGTCATAAGGAGAGCTGAACTGCTCATATGGGACAAGATAAGCATGGTACCCATTCATGCTTTTAAAGCTGTCAAGAGGGTCTTGCATGACATAACAAACTGTGATACAGATTTTGGTGGCATCACATTAGTAACAGGAGTAGATTTCAGACTGACATTACCTGTTTTTAAAAAGCCCATCACACAAAAATTGTCCAAAACAGTGTGAAATCCTCACCAATATCTTGTAAAGTTCTCATTAAATATGAGGGTGAACTCTGAGGAAAAGGAATGGTCCAGATGGCTTGGGAGGCTCAAACATGATAACCTACCTAGCCTCTAAGGATTCAACCAGGAAGTTATAAAATTACCTCTAACTTTCACCACTAGAGAACAAATGATAGAAAATGTGTTTGGAAAACACATACAACCTATTGGAGAAAGCTATTGTCATGACTTTAAATGATCTCTCTCTACAAGTAAATGACCAAGTCCTTTTGAGAATGACTGGCAGAACAATAACATACAAAAACATTGACATCATTAGAAACAGATTTGGACGAAGAGATGTTGGATTATGCTATAGAATTCTTAAACTTAGTAACACCATCTGGAATGCCTCCACACAAGATACACAAAAAAATCAGATGTTTTATGCAACATTGACACTAAAAAAGGCCTTTGTAGTGGCACTAAACTAATTATAATGAAGGCACTACCAAATGTTATAGAAGCTGAAATTCTACATAATGGTATGAAAGGAAAAAAAAAAGTCCTACCAAGAATCTCTTTAAAACCAACTGGCAAAGATATGCCATTTATCTTCAAACGACACCAATCCTAATAAGGCTTGTGTTCTCCATAACAATTTGCAAATCTCAGGGACAAACATTACAGAATATGGTTATCTATTTGTCAAGACCAGTTTTTGGCCACGGTTGCACTTTCAAGGAGAATATCAAAGAAACAAATTACAATGTCCACCGAACAATGAGAGGGACAAGGTGTGCTCCAGAACCATAATGTCTATATGGAAAAGCATTGTGTACAAAGAAACTCATGTCACCAATGTGACAAT